AGCGAGGACTAGCGACAGAGGAGTGCGATGGCGGAAAGGGGCAGAGGTTATCAGCAGCGACGGGCGACAACTTCAAATTCATTATAAATTTTGCATTCATAATTTTCATTCATAAATTTTTATACCAAACATAATTTTCTCAGAACTTCAAATTCATTATAATTTTAAATTGTATTTGTAAATTTACATACCAAACATATAATTTTCTCAAATTTCTACTCAATCAAACGACCCCTTAAAAATTATAAATTATGTGATTTAATAAAATATGTACACATATATATCTAAAAGATATATATAAAGAACTATCTGATGAGGATATAAAAGATACTAGATATCATTGCTTGTCTGGATGAAAAATGAGTACTTTTAGCTACTTTTGTGCCGATCCGGAGAAGCTGAAAAGTGGTGTAGGCAATGTCAGGACATGTTAGGGGATATGCCCAACATGAAAATTTTCAAAGAGTGGTTTGTACCCCCATCTTTTCGAAGACAGATGCAGAACAAGTTCATCAAGTAGGTGCATGGATAAAAGAAAGCCATGAAATATGAAACAAAATTCATTGAACTGTTATATTATGCTCCATAGCTGATAGCTATTGCAACAAGGAAATGCTACAGATTCCTTACTAGATTGAAGGATTCGATCAGGTAGTCGTTGGCGCTTTTGGGTATTGATGAATACAAAAAATTAGTGGAACGAGCTAGAAAAGTAGAGATCGATTATCAGCTTAATTAGAAGCACGAGGAGACACACTAGAGAAAGGGTATTGATGAAGGAGACATATAGACCAATCATAAGAATCCAATGGGAAGAATTCCAAGTTTAATTCGGGTGGATTTAGCAAATGTACAACTTAAAGTGAAGTAATCACTTGTGTCAAATGCAGAAGACAACATAAAGATGAATGCTTGACGGGCTCTAACACATGTTAATAGCGTCATCAGTCTGGTAACTTCTGTTTGAATACAAGTAACAGCTGCAGTATATATATCTTTAGTGCCATATCAACACCTTTCTTTTCTCGAATTCTCCAAAGAACTTTCCTTTGAAACTTATCATAAGTTTTTTTTTTCAAAATAAATAAAAAACATATGTAGATCCTACTTACTCTTTCTGTACTTCTCCATTATACCTCTCAATAAATGTATAACATCCATAAGAGATTTGCCCGTCGTAAATCCAATTTGATTATGAGAAATCGTATCACGTCTTAATCTATGTTCAATTACTCTCTCAAAAATTTTGTGGTTACATCGACGCCTGACCATGATCAAATTGACAAGATCTTCCATGGCATTTTTGACAATAATTATATAAGGAGAGCTTGCACATGACCTAGGAGGAGTTGCAGGCTTTAGAGGCTCTCTTCAGTAGGAATTAGGATTTTACTTAAAGCTTAGGGGTCATCTTCTTCTTCTTCTTCTTGTAAAAGGTAACTTCTTTTCATGACCCGATGCAGAGCTTGGAATTAACCAAGACAAGAATAGACAGTCAAATGGTAGAAATTAAATTTCCTAAATTTATCAGCAATTTAATAGATGAAATAGCCACTAGTAAATTAAACTAAAATAGTTTATTTAAATTTACATCACTACTTGTTGTCCATTACAACAACGCAAGAGGAAAGAAAAATAATATACATGTCAATTAAACTTTTTAATAAATCAATATAAATATGTAACATGTTATTCAATGAACATTATAATATCAATAACATACAAATATCATTTTATATCGATATAACCGTCACATGAGCGCTGTCTAGAAATTGCGTTAATTAACACATCAATATAAATATTCATTTTTAGGTCAACCTTCCTCCTCAGGCACGTACATTTGGTCTCCTATTCCCCGCCAAGTCTTAATAATAAATTTTCTATTAATATTACGACACCCAACCGCCCGGCCACCCGTACGCCCGCACGCACGCAGATAGATATATATATATATATATTCAATTAAATAAAAGTATCGGATTTTACCTTCTTATGGATTAGGACGACCCTAAATTGCAGATGGCGACTTGCTTCGGCTCTTCCACACGCGTCCCTAACGATTTTTTAGAACAATGGTTTACTGCCCTTTTCCTTTGTTTTCATTCCAATAAATAATAATTTGTACAATTTACTTAAGGTAACTTAATAATACATATTCTTAATCTAAATATTAAGTTACAAGGAAAAAATATGTGCAATTAAAATAAGGAATTTAATTCAACAATTTAAATAAGGGAACTCTTCATTCTGTCTGATTTCAGTCATTCTTGATTGATATCCCCTCCCAAATTGATGTTGACTAATCAAGAAGCATCAATTTACCAACAAATAACTAATAAATATATAAGTCGTTTGAACATCAGAAAAGATATGAGAAAGAGAAATAACACCATTATCATAAGCTTCTCGAATAGAATGACAATCTACTTCAATGTGTTTCGTGCGCTCATGAAAGACAAAATTAGCAATAATTTGGATAGCACTAGTATTATCTGCATAAAGAGAAGTAGACTCAAGTAGAGGAAAACCAAGCTAAGCCAGCAAACCCCGAAGCCAAATGATCTCAGAACAAGCAGAAGACATAACACGATATTCAGACTCAGCAGAAGACTTGAGCTCCATTTGGGGCAGCTTATCCGCTGAAAATGCGTTTAAGCAGCTTATCCAAAAGCGCATTTGATTTTTTACACCCTTATTTAGATAAGCGACCTATTTGGATAAGCACAAATTGCCTCAAATACACCCTCAGACACTCGATCATGTTTCTTACTCTTCCAAGAAATTA